TTACGACTCAATTATCAGGCATTTGGGTTGATTCAAAATGTATATTGAAATATATTCCGACAAATGACGGCACTGAAACGCTCGATATTGTACAACAACAACAATAAACGTACTTGTTCAAATGAATCCTCGTGTTCTATGGAAGTCGCCATCTTTATTGTTTGCTACATATGTCACTTCCGCCACGCGCTGCACTGGAGTGGCCCGCCCCGCAGTGTATGCTTTATTTTTATACTCTAAGTAGAAATGTATTTCTTAATTTTAAGCTAATGAACGAGGACTTTTACATATTCTCGCCTCAGATGCTAAAAACGTTTTTTTGCACACTGTACAGCTTCTGTGTTTTGTATATTTTACATCAAAACCTGTACTTTATTCTATTTTCAGTTCTATATTCTATTTTATTCACATAATATATTGTATTTTGTTTTATTCACGACATATTTATTGAGTTATTTATTTATATATCATAATATAGTAATGTTTTATTTAATTATTTTTAGAATGTGTGTGTGTCCTTAATTCGTATGTTTTTGCACTGTCGGACGAGGGAAAACATTTTTATTACATTACATCACATGTGTGTGACAAATAAAGGATTTTGGACCTTAAAATGCAGCCATAAATGATAGTAAATAAATGCTAGATAGATTTTTATTAGTTACTACAATGGGCATTATGTTATTGTTGTTATTTATTTTCTTTTTCCCTTCAATATTGGGCTATAAAAATAATGTATTATATTTTATGTAGAGACACGAACCTAGCATAAGAAAAATAGCCTTTTTCACGAGTCAAAATCAAGGCCAAAAAAATGAAATCCGCATTGAGCTCATGTAATGACATAATGTAGCCACTAGATGTCAGTAAAAACACATTAAAGCTTTTCAAATCAGAAGCGCTGCACCTTATTAAGACATAATTCGCTGTTTTTTTTTTTGTTTTTTTTGTTTTTTCAGACGTGGGACGTTTGACACTTTGGAATTTGAAAGAAAAAAACACTTTTAGATTTTTTTACATTCTCTTTTTAAATGAATGCTCGATGATTTATGTTTAACAGCATGGGATAAATATAAATATGTAAATGTAATTTTCAACAAAAAAATCTGGAATAAATCATGCATCCTAAATGTTTACAATTAAAACAAGGTGAATTTACCTTGATTAATACCTTGATGCATCAACTGTCACACCACCTGTCTAACCTCAACATTTTCCAATACACCATTGAACTCCTATTCACTGAAAATGATTAAACATCTTCATGCTTGCTCTTGTATTGAGCATATGAGACATATAGACAGTCCTTTCTCTTACACACCTCTAGAAAGCACCTTATTAAATGGTCTTCTTAAAGATAAAATCAGATGTAGCCAGAGGCATCTATGTTTAAAAAAATGTTTGTCTCTATCCTCAATTTGTTGAGAAACATTTTAGCACTCCCCAGAGTAAGTCCCAGAAGATCCCTGACTGAATGCACCCCGTAGTGCCGAGAAGCGCGGCCCCCGCTAGGTGTCTTGCCTGTGGCACATTCTACCCTTTTGCGTTTGAATGTCAAGACTCTCCATGCAGAAAATTGATTCCCAATGATGCTATTGAGCAGGCAGGTCACTCAAGAGAGAAGAAAATAATCTCATGCCCCCCAAAACAATGAGATGAAACCAAAATGCTGGAGATAAAGGATTGTCATGAAATTACGAAAATTGAGGAAATCGATCACAGAGCATGAAGCAGATATGGACACTCGATAGGTTTAAACCTAAATAAGGGCATGTTTGAGATCTCAGGTTCTCGTGTCTCAGCTGGGGGAAATTATCAGAGGTCACTCTCAGAAAATCATATAATGTGTGTGTCCTCATGAATTAACAGTATATAGTCAACTTACATTATTTGAGAGATTTGAGCAAAAAAAAGGAAGAAATGTCCTTTATTGGAAATATATATATACGTTATTCATATTTTAGAGAAAATGCGGCATTCGTCTTTTCCCCATGTTCTGTTCAACTCTGTTAAAATGGCAATATTTTTCGCTCTGTGGTTGAAAACGAAGTATGTTTCTCTAAAAGTTTTTTTTTTTTAAATATCATCTCATTATGTTTTCACTTACATTGGCTTCATAAAGCTAAATGGTTCAACTCTGTTATGGGATAAACACCTTTTTTTTTTTTTTTTTAAATCTCCAGCAAACAGCCTGTGAATAATACTGTGTTGTGCAATGATACTTGCTGTGAGGCCATTATTGGACGTTTTAAATTTATAATACCAAAATGACAGTAACAGGGTTGAAATAAAACAGCGCTTTGTCACAGGATAGAGATAAAGTAGCGCATGATCACAGGAACTTGCAGTGCAGCTTCAAACTATTGGACGCTAGAATATTTTTGGTTGTAACACAAAACACATTTTAAAGAGAAATGGCATGAGTTCTTTATATTTCAATACATAATGATGATCTAATAATGAAATAATGGTGATCTATTACAAGGGCACAATAAACTAGTTAACTAATTTATATAAACTATGAATTTCAAACTTGCAGTAACAGGGTTAAAATAAAGTAGTGCTTTACAGTCAGGGATTAGGGTTACTGACAACAAATAAATTCATTGATAGTTACCACCAGAACAGAAGTTATCACCGGAACAACATGTGAACAGTGTGTGGCGCAATGATATTTAACTGTTGAGGCCATTAAACATTTTTGCACTGATCTTCAACCCTGAAACATTTTGTAACAGGATTGACACAAAGCACGTGATTTTTTTTTTTTTTTTAAATAAAATTTAAACTAATTATTAATATTTATTTCAATTTTATGTATGATTTATCACCAGGCACAATAAACTCAGTCATCTATTCAAATTCATGTATGAATTCCAAAATTACAGTAGTGCCTTGGGATCAGGCTTACTAACAACAAATACATTCGTATTTGATCGTTCAGCTCTGTTATGAGATAAACACAATTTTGAATCACCTGAATAATACTGTGTGGTGCAATGATACTAGCTGAGGGGCCATTATTAGACATTTTGCACTGATCACAAACCTTGTAACAGGGTTGACACAAAACGTGATTTTTCAAAGAAAAAATTGCACGAGTTATTTTATTCATTACCAGGCACAATAATCTTAGTCTTCTACTGAAATGTATGCGTTTAAATGCAAAAAAAAAAAAAACCACATTCACAGGGTTGAAATAAAGTAGTGCTTTATCACGGGATAGTGATAAAGTAGCGCGTGATCAGGAACTTGCCGTGCAGCTACAAAAATACATCGCATGCATCCTACAAAATGAGAAAATTAAACCTAAGACCGGTTTGTATGTGACACACATCACTCTTGACTTGACTCTAAACACTCGTCAGTGCTGTCAGGAGTGTGCTTTACTCCCAGCCGCCTGAAAGAAGCAGCACACTTCCTCTGGTCTGGGACTAACCTGGGCCATGTGTTCAGCAGTAATTCTCCCCCTCCACAACGGGTAAATACCCTCAGCAGAGCCCATATCAAATTCCACGGAAACAAAGACAGCAAGCGCTGTGAGGAACGACCATAATGAGCCATCTGTTCATCCATGGCAGTGCAAACCAAATGTCATCAAACTGTGCTCCTTCTCTCACTTCGCCTTCAGAACAGGCAAACTGCACTCCTTCAGCAGCGCAAACGCTCGGCGTCACAGTTTACACTGACAGACCATGTCAAGTTCAATATTGCCCCACTTTAAATGCATCTGAGATGGGAATTAACAAATCTGTGCTGAAAAACTTCTCCAAAAATATGTAATTAACATGCAAATGCGTAGAATTTGTACAAATGTATTAATGAGGGGCGTTAGGCTTCTGTTGCCAGTTTGCGACATGGAATGTTATCGTGATGAAGATATGAAGAGAATATTATACATGCCGTTGTAGTGATAGAGGGAATTAACATCTCCAGTCCCCCTTTGGTGAAAATCAAGTTTTTAAAGTATCAAGTATTTGTCTATGTTGTGTTTTTAATACGACAATTTAAGACAAACCATGTGCAAATTCAAAATTCAACACAATACGCTGATATCAGCACCCATTTTGAAATTGAAGGCGGGAAAGAATCCCGGAAGTACAGATAGACAACAAATACCAACCTGAAGCTGCCGCGATTCACACGGACGTTATATATCCAATATGGGATTTATATATAGTTCGATATAAAAATTGAACTTCAGAATAAGTTTATTTTTTAAATAAATTTTAGAATAAGTAATTTCTACATTAAAACAACAATAGTTCATCAAATTCCCGACTCTCCTATGATTAAAGGCGACACTTCCGGTTTTCTTCCCACCGGAGCGATTTCAAAATGTCGGCTGCATGAAATCAGCGTATTGTATTTTTTTTTTAAATGTATTTAATTATTTTTGAGTATTTTCTCCTTAAACTTTAGTCAGTGAACTAAAGACAGTGTCAAAAACTAAGTACCTTTTAACCAATCGGGCCAACTAAGTTAGTGGATCACTCACTGAGCTGGTGTGAGTGAGTGGAAGCGGGGCTAATTTGCATAGGGCAAAGTTGTAAAGTTACATTCAAGCTATTTTAAGACATGAAGACATTTTTTCAAGGAAAGAAAAATGTTTAAATATGTCATTTTGGTGATCAAATATGAATTTTTAAGGAATAAAATTAACTACAGGGGAAATGCACTAATAATTATATATATATATGAAGAGTTCAGATGCAAAAGCCTCTAAATGCCATTTGAAATTTTCTTCTTTAATGATGATTTTTATCAAACTTGTATATTTAAGTTCAGTAATTTCACTTAAATGGCAATGATAATTACCTATTAATTGTTATTTAAGTGAAATTACTGAACTTAAATATACAAGTTTGATAAAAATCATCATTAAAGAAGAAAATTTCAAATGGCATTTAGAGGCTTTTGCATCTGAACTCTTCATATATTCTCACACACACACACACACACACACACACGCGCGCGCGCGCGCGCGCGCGACACTAAAATACATATTCAATTAAATATTTAATGCCAGCAAACCTTTCTGCATGATACATTTATTTATAGCTATTACAAATACGGATGCGATGTGATGACGCAAAACAGACAAGCATTTAAAAAGACATTTGAAGTACAAGTTCTTGGCAAATGAATCTTGAGAAGGTTTGAAGCATCAACTCCTCACCAAAATCAGTGTGTTTGTCCTCCTGTAGAATATATAATAGGCACCTTGCTTGAACCATGCAAATGAATACATTCTGCCTCCTACATTAACCAGTCAAAATAAAATATTGTAGAGGGTATTGAGTGTAAAAGAAAGGCACATGAAATATATAAAAAAAAGAGTTGATGAGAACCTGTGTTTTGAGATTTCATATGCTCAGTGAAATGGTGATTGTAGAGGAAATGAAGAGGGGTTATTCTTCAGAGGAAGGGCTCGTATCCAGCGGTGTCTCTTGGGTAACACTGTCCATCTCTGCAGGTTCAGAGCTCTCAGTCGACGGACTCTTGTCTTCCTCGGCCTGGCTTTTATCCTCTTCTGTGTTATTGCTCTCATCAAACCCTGACCCTTCGGCCTGCGGGCCGTCTCCCTCGTAGATGATGTCCTCTGGGTTAGGTGCGGGCGGACAGAAGTCTTCATCAGGGAGGAGATGATGAAACACTGATTCAGCCTGGAAATAAACAGAAACAATCATAATTGTGTCTTAATCAACAGGCGATATCTGATCCACAAAACGCAGTGTCTGCCTCCCTCTGCTGGACTCACCAGTTTAATGGAGTAGTCGCTGCCCAGGCTGCTGTCGGGACCGGTGCAGACGTGAACGTTACTCGGCAGGATGTAGCCGCCGCTGTCCTGGGCCGACGTGTCCCTCATGTTGAAGTACATGACCCACAGCACTGCAGGCTTGCTCCTCTCCACCAAACCTGCGGGAGGTTAAGCAGTCATTTCTTTACAGTCTTTTAAAGGAGTAGTTCACTTTTTTTTTTTTAAACTTTTGCTGATAATTTACTCACCCCCATGTCATCCAAGATGTCCACGTCTTTCTTTCTTCAGTCGATGTTTTTGAAAACATTCCAGGATTTTCTCCATATAATGGACTTCAATGGGGTCCAAACAGTACAAGGTCCACACGAGAGCTTCAGTGCAGCTTTAAAGGACTTTAAACGACACCAGACGATGAATAAGGGTCTTATCAAGCGAAACGAGCAGTCATTTAAAAAATAAATTAAAAAGTTTAAGTTTTATAAGCACAAATGCACGCCTTGCTCTGTTCTGTGATGCGCGTTCGTGACTCTCCTATACGAACTCGTTCATTTTTGAGTCATTTTGCTCATTCGTTTGTTAAATGAACCAAATGACTCGAAAAAAGATTCGTTCATTTTGATGTACGAGTTCGAACGGGAGAATTCCGAACGAGCATTTGTGCTTATAAAACTTAAACTTTGTTATTTATTTATAAAATGAGCGATCGTTTCGCTTGATAAGATTCATCGTCTGGAATCGTTTAAAGCCCTTTGAAGCTGCACTGAAACTCTCATTTAGACCTTGAACCGTTTGGACCCCATTGAAGTCCATTATATGGAGAAAAATCGTGGAATATTTTCATCAAAAACCTTAATTTCTTTTCGACTGACGAAAGAAAGAAATCCAAAATCGCGTACTGTGCGAGTAGGCACTACATTTGAATTTACTTCGCAGCCGTTAAAAAAGTACACACTACATTAGTATGATTATGGTTAGTATGAATGCAATGTGGACGTCCTACATCCGCCATGTTCACATGACCCACTAGTGTCTGTTTAGTTGCTTCACTTCCACTCATAAATCCTCTCCTACGGCTTCATGGGATAGTAAAGTGTCCATCAAATGCACACTTCAGACTCTGTTTTTCTGACTTTACTCTTTATTTACTCTAGTATTTCAGATTTTGATGGTATAGAAACACACACTTAGACAGCAATAGATCAACAGACAAACATGTTTCAGTTTTGTTTTCCATGCCTCTCTGGACTGGTGTAAGACTGCATTAGTTAGGCCAACTAGTCAAAAGTTGGAATAATATTGCACTTTCCTCCTATACACCAGTTTTAAAAGACTGACGTTGATTTATCATGAGATGAATCATTGTTAATATTTTGCTAGCGGGCGCATGACGTGGGTCATCGAATCTCTTTTTCTTCATCTCCTTTGATGACATCTTAGGCAAGACGAGCCCTATGGTCCAACAGAAGAGCAGAGAATCTCAAGTGTGTGTGTGTGTCTCGCTGGTTCGTTTAAAGCGTAAAGCTGTCAGTCTGTATCATTACCCTTTAAATACACGAGCCTCTGCCGCAAAAAGGTGGGAAAAGAAAGGCAAGAAAAAGCGAGAGGGAGAAGGTGTCAGTCTGAAATGTCAGAACGGTCATTACCCAAATGTCACACAATTATGACGCGTGTTCCTTTTCCTGCCCGGAGTGGCCCGGTGATTTGCTTAATTTGGCGAGGGGAGAGCTGTGGCGGCATCAATGTTTAACGCCGCTTCAAATACACCACCCATCCTCTCCTCTGAACGCTGCCGGGTCACCGATTCACAAAACACTGAACACACACACAGCCAAAGAATCTCTTCTATTATAGAGTCCAGACAGCCCAGAACATGCCACTAGATAATATATGGACAGTGTTGAAAAAATATAGATTATTATAATGATGTGAAAATGAATGAAATGACTCGAAAAAAGATTCGTTCATTTTGCAGGAGAGTCACAAACACGCATCACAGAACAGAGCAAGGCGAGCATTTGAGCTTATAAAACTTAAAGGGTTAGTTCACCCAAAAATGAAAATTAAGTCATTAATTACTCGCCCCCATGCTGTTCCAACCCCGTAAGACCTTCGTTCATCTCCGGAACACAAATAAAGATATTTTTGATTGAATCTGAGAGCTGGATCAGTCCTATATAGACTGCCTAAGGGACTGGCTCTTGACGGCCCATAAAGTCATTAAAGAAAAGGTTTAAATATTCCATGTGCCTACAGCGGCTCAATTATAAGTTTATCAAGCGACGAGACTACTTTTTGTGCGAGAAAAACATAAATAACGACTTTATTCCACTATTCCATTACTTCCTTATGGGCGCATGCGCGAGAACTGAGACGAGGACGTTCTCATTCGTCTACTTCTTGTTACCGGCTGCTCACCGCTTAGGAGTTTTACCGCCACCTACCGTATAAAATGATGATCCATATATAAGGCGCTCCGGATTATAAGGAACACTCGTTTTTTGAGAAGATTAAAGGCTTTTAAGTGTACAGCGCGCATCTTCCTCTGCTTGTAAACAGAAAGTTTTCCGCTTCCAGCTATATCAGCACATCATTTTATACGGTAGGGGGCGATAAAACTCCTAAGCGGTGAGCAGCCGGTAACAAGAAGTAGACGAATGAGAACGTCCTCGTCTCAGTTCTCGCGCATGCGCCCATAAGGAAGTAATGGAATAGTGGAATAAAGTCGTTATTTATGTTTTTTTCGCACAAAAAGTAGTCTCGTCGCTTGATAAAGTTATAATTGAGCCGCT